TGCAATTGATAACTAACAAGTAAATGAAAACATTCAAATGCAGATAACTGCTAAGCTTACAGAAACCAAACGTCAATGCATCTCTGTCGAATAAAACTTTGAACTTACCACTGGAACTGTAAGGAACTGAGTTGACTCAAAGCTGTCTTGGGCACTAGAGTACAGTTCTTGAATTTCCTTTGAGCTGTGATTGCATTTCATGAAGAAAAAAGCAGCTGGCCTCACATTCAACTCCCTGCGAGATATACTGATAAAAACTTGCTCGGACTGTAGCATAACCAAATGATCAACATGTATCGTGGGCAATATATACAGTACATTATCAATTCATTGTAAGCAGGAGAGCTACATAACATGTATCATGGGCAACTAGGAAATAAGCATACAGATGTACGTACAAGGGAAGATGAAGGTACTCCAATTTCTTCAACAACCTCATGAACAATGCTGTCAAACATCCCCTGAGAAACTTTGTTGTTAATAAGTTTGGAGTCACTCACGTCCTCCCGATGATGGGATACGATTCCAACTTATTCGGGCTATTATCATCAAATATTACGGTATTAGAGGTCCTTATATGCCCTGCAAAAGGATAAGGAACTGGAAAAGCTTCTTAACGTTACCTAAAGCTTAAAAAGACGTTTGAAATTATCCAGAGACTTTGAAGCACGCATTGAATGAACCCAAAACAATGATAGCACAATACATAGGCAAATGATGAAATTAAACTATGCAGCTACAAAACCAGGTTGCAAAATTTTCATGTTTCAGATAACTGACGTATAAATTTGTTAACATTATGTTAGGGACTTCGATAAAAATATGAAAACTGATATCCAGTCAATGAACATTAGTAACTACAGACTGGATAATAAATTTTCCTCATTAAATTAAGGGTTATTATACAAAATGATCCCTGAAATTTGCATGATCAATAGAAGTGGTTCCTGAAATTGTCCACCATCTATGATTTTGGTTATTCCGTTAAAAACTCTTTGGGCAATTTTCAAAGCTTTGTAACTCAATCGTTTCTTAACCAAATTCAACCCCAAAATATATCAAAATGAAGATAGGAAAGTGTAGAATAAGATTATACCCATTTGGAAGCCCAATGGTTGCCAGAGATGGCTAGAAAATAGCCTGAAAGGTGACTGGTCCGTGGGAAAACTGAAAAACTCGCCGAAAACTAGGTAAACTTTAAACTTCTTCAATACTCAACGAAATCAAGTGATTCAAAAACAAAAATCATACTTCTCGACGAGATGAAGAGAATGGTATCGGCAAGTTAGCCTTCGAAAAAGGTACCATTCTCTTCGCCTCGTCAAGAAGTATGATTTTTGTTTTTGAATCACTCGATTTGGTTGAGTATTGAAGAATTTATGAACGTTTAAAGTTTACCCAGTTTCCGGCGAGTTTTCCAGTTTTCCCTCGGACCAGTCACCTTTCAGGCTATTTTCCGGCCATCTCTGGCAACCATTGGGCTTCCAAATAGGTATAATCTTATTCTACACTTTCCTATCTTCATTTTGATATATTATGGGTCGAATTTGGTTAAGAAACGATTGAGTTACAAAGTTTTGAAAATTGCCCAAAGAGTTTTTAACGGAATGACCAAAATCATGGATGGTGGACAATCTCAGGGACCATTTTGTATTATAACCCTTAAATTAATAAAATGCATGTGGGTTGGAGCCGAAGGAGAAAGTTTGACTTACCTTATAAGCCATCAAATTAACATTTGAACTTTGTCTTTTGACATATCTATTGGAGATGTTTTCATAGAGCCCTGATAAGAGTATAAGATGAATGGTTAGATGATTGTTATGTGTCAAAAGATTAGTATGTTTGCTATAAGGTAGTTAAGATTGTAGTGACTTGATGTGTAAGCTTTGTTAGTTAGAAGGTTGTATAACAAATTGTATGGTTTGTAATACTACTAATGAAATATACAAGAATTTATTCCTCTCTCTCTCTCTCTTAAACCTCCATTCTTGTTCTACACTGTTGCAACATAATTTGTTGCTTTGCATGGTATCATTCACTTGACAAGCAACTATTGCTTAAGGTTGATTCGATCTTGGATTTCTTGCTTCTGCCGCTTAAGATCATCTTATTCAAGACTATTGGTTCTCGAAGCTCTAAAAGTTTCTGAGATTTCTTCTTCTCGATCGTGCACTCTAGGTGTTTGATCTTACTTCTCGTCAATTTTTTTCAAGAAAAGGCTACAATGGTGACTACCAATCAACTGTAGATCTTGCAATCACTCATCACATCTCTTATCTCTACAGTTTCTACATCTGTTACAGTAAAGCTTGATGATTCTAATTACCTTACTTGGAAATTTCAGATGCAACTATTACTCGAAAGACATGGAATCATGAGGTTCTTGGATGGTTCTAATTCATATCCTTAAAGATTTACTACTACTAGTTCAGGAAATTATGAGGTCAACTCTAGCGATTCTTCATCAAGAATTGAAACTGATGCATTCAAGGTTTGGAAATGCATGATAGGGTTTTGATGCAACTCATTACCACTACCCTTTTCTCCATCAGCTGTGTCATATGCTATTGGAAGCACAAGTGCTCAAGAATTATGGGTTTGTCTCAAAGAACAGTTTTTCATTGTTATTCGAGCTATAATATTCCAAATGAAATTTGAGCTATAAAATATCAAGAAAGGCACTAATTCGATATCTTAGTATCTACAGAGAATTAAGGAGGCTCGAGACTATTTGACAGCTGCAAGAGTTCACTTTGAAGATGATGACATTGTTATCTTAACCTTCAATGGCTTGCCAGTAAAGTACAACACTATAAGATCAAATTATTCGAGGAAGGGAAAGTATAATTTCCATCAAAGACTTGAGATCTCAATTGCTTGCTAAAAAAACAATGGTGGAAAATACTGCAGTCACTTTATTCTTCTCTGCAATGGTTGCCAAGAACATTGAGTCAAGCTCCAAGAACTCAACATTTCCAACACAAGATTTTTCTGGCAATCAAAACTAAGGGTGTTCTAGCAACCAAGGGTATTTGGCAATCAAGGGTTCTCTAGTGTGGTGGGGGGGGGGATCATGCCACTTATTTCCAGAACAACTACAATAAAAACAAGGGCAAAGGTAAATTTAACTACAACTCTAATTTTTGAAATGGAAATTCAAGAAACAACTACAATAATCCTTTTTTTTTTCTTTCAACATCCAATGCTTCATCTCAACAAATCTGGCTTACAGATTTGGGAGCAACAAATCACTTAAATGCTAATTTGCAGAATTTATCCTTGGCTACTATATTCCCATCTACAGAGACAATACAACTGCAAATGGTGTAGGTTTACCAATATCACATATTGGATCATCTATCATTCATACTCCTATACATTCTCTGAAGCTTAATTCAGTTTTATATGTGCCAAAAATTACTTAGAACTTACTTTCAGTACATAAGATATGCTTGGACAATAATTGCGGGCTAATATTTAATTTCTTGATTTAGGACAAAGTCACATGGAGGATTCTGTATAAGAGGCAGTGCAGTAAAGGGTTGTATCCATTTCCAATCTCAAGACCTATTGTTGTTCATCATCAAGCATTCAAAGCTGTATTTCTTGGACATCAAGTAAATTTAAGTTTCTAGCATAGCATACTAGGTTACCCTTCTAATTCAATTGTCTCTACTATACTTAGAAATCTCATATTTCAGTACCTTCTGATGTATCACCTTCACTGTCATTCATGTTTACAAGGAAAATTTAGCAAACTACCCTACCTTTCATTTGTGTCTAAGTCTATAATTCCATTTGAAGAAGTTCAAAGTGATGTGTGGGGCCTTACTCCTTGTAATTCCATTGATGGATATAGATACTATGTGACATTCATTGAGGAATGCACTAAATATTGTTGGTTATTTCCATTACATAATAAAAGTTAAGTGTGTTATGTGTTCATTAGATTATATAAGTTTATATTTAATCACTTTGCAGTTTCAATTAAAACTTTACAAAGTGATGGAGGGGGTGAGTACATAAGTAAAACCTTTCAATCCTTCTTGTTGGGCAAATGAACCAATAATCAAATATCATATCTTCATACTCTAGAATAGAATGGGTTGGTAGAAAGAAAACATAAACACATTGTTGAAACCTCTATCACATTGTTACAAACAACTACTTTACCAGCTATGTTTTTGGCTTTGCCTGTCAAACTACAATATATCTTATAAATAGGATGTCATCTCCAACTTTAAACAATCGATCACCCTTTGAGACTTTGTTTTCATTCCATTCCAAAAATACAATATCTCATGATATTTGGTTAACTACTACGAAACCATTTATTAGTGTCGCTATGATAACCGACAAGAAACGTATATTACTGTCGGATATTAAGCAAAATTCGACAGAAAATAGATGCAGTGGCGGATATAATAAGCAATAGAATTGCCAGCGTCAAGAAATGAATTTTCTGTCGGTTAAGGCTCTAAAATTGACAGAACTTGTGTCGGATATATGCGACAATAAATACTTAACTACTGTCAAGTATTATCAATTAAAGTCGTTCGTAACCGCCAGGAAATTAAAAATACCGTCGGATTGACATCATGTTCCTGTTGGTTTTAATCGACATAAACCATTTAAAAAAAATAAAATCTATTATAAACAACTATTTTCCATCGTCCACAACCAACAGAAAAATATTAATATTAAAAAAAAAATCTTTCTGTTTGTTTTTTTAATGAACGAATAAAAATAAAATAAAAATTATTTAATGAGTGAATAAAATAAACAAAGCTCATAAAACAACAAATATGCATTCAAAAAAATAAATTAATTTATAAAATGTTCTCCGAATCAGCAAACACATAAATATAAGTTTCCATTAAATATAATAAACATAAATATTGTCTTCTAAATAGACAATAATATTCATAATAGATATAATACTTGTAGTCTAATCATATTCAATAAGCAACATTTACCCCCTTTGTTGTGACGATTCATCATCCAACCAAGAGTCCATTTCCAGGTATGGTTTCAAAAAAAAAAAAAAGGATGGGATTCGACTCCTTTCCATGCTTATTCTTCTTTAAATATGTTAAAAGAGAACAACAAATACATATTTATACTTAATTGAAAATAAAAAAATGAAAAACACTACATATATTACAAATTAGCAACACATACATATTCCTCGTGCACCCGAGCAAAAGTTTTTGAACCAATTGTATGGTTCATAGTTTTTAACTCCCCATTAAATTTGTTTTTCTCCGCCACCTTCTGAAAAGTAAAAAAAAAATAAAAAAAAAAAAACCTTATAAGACAAACATCTTTCAATACGAAATATCAAATCATTAATTTTTCATCTTTGTTTTAGGATCATCCCAATTAGTTACCATCTCGATCCATTGACCAACATCCACTCCAGGGGGAGGTTCTGAGCGCTCATGCCCTTGTCTTTTGGTATAATACTCCGCTTTTAAACCATTCTGGTATTCCTTGTATGAATTATCCGCAACGTGGAGAGTCATGTTACGAATTAGTGGCATTTTGTCATAGTCTTCATAAAGAAAAATAATATTCCCCTATATTCATAAAAACATACATGTTAGTACAAATCTGAAATATAGAAGTAAAAAATGAAAATATACACTTCAATTCTTTCGCACAGAACTTCCTTATCATTTTCCCGAATCAAGCGCCAATCCCTTTTCAATGGAAGATTTCTTGGATCCTTAACCTTAAAGGTTATTAATTCTGAAAATTCAGTAGCATTTGCACTAACACATTTTCTTGTTGAATCAAACGAACAAAGTTGTCTCTCTTTCCACTTTGGAATAGCAGCTCCACGATTTCTACGTTGAGTTGCTCCTTATTAATGAAAACAAACATTTGTCATGTATTTAAAAAACAACAAAGAAAAAACTCACAATATAATTACTTTAAAACGTACAATTTTCAGTTTGTTCCTGGAATTCATGACCTTCATTTTGTTCCTCCATAGAAATGGTTGAGAAAGGAAGGAGGAGTAAAAATGGCTAAGAAAGGAATGAGTAAAAATGGGAAGGAGAAGAAGAATGGTTGGAAGTGAAAATGGGAAAGAGAAGAGGAACGGCTGAAGTAAAAATGGGAAGTTGAATTATTTTAGCTTAGGGTAATAAATGTTGTCGGTTATAACCGACAACTTGAATAAAAACCTCTAGCCTTTTTAATATGTATGTCAGGTTAGTGTCGGTTATAACCGACAAAATTAACCAAAAACTGCCACAAAATTTTCCTTCGTTGAATTTTGTGTGCTATTAATTTTTTTGAATCAAAGTCGCGAGAAATTTCTGTTCGTGTCGGTTATATCTGACATACATGTGTGTGTGTTTTTTTTATAACCAATAAAACATTTTAAATTTTACCATACAAACTAAAATAATTTAAATAGTCACCACACAAATTGAAAAATAGTCTAATTAATACTTTAAAAGCGTAAAGTAAATAATAAAACTATTATATTTCATCTTTTGTTTGGTCATGGTTGTCATTGACAAAATTAGTGAACTTGGTAGGCAACAATAATACTTTGTGAAAATGAGTCTCTTCCACGCCAACCCTTGTATGCATAACATCAAAATTGTGTCTAATCAACAAATGCCTCCAATAAGGTAGTTCATAAAAAAATAGATTTCTTCTTCCACTGACTCTTACTACTTGTACTGCTCTCAGTTTATTTTTTGAGTTGCCCAACCGAAGCATCTTTCTTTGGTTGTCCCAAAGTAAATCTCAAAGTAGAAAGTTCTTCAAGACATTGTAAACCAGTCCACTGCCTTGGTGCACTATGATGCTCTCGCCGACCATTAAAAGATGTGGTTTGCCTTCGAAACCTATGATCATCAGCAAGAAAGCGTCAATGCCCCAAATGGTAAATCTTACGACTCGCCGGCAAGTAAATAAATTCTTTATCATGCATGCAATGTGGACAGGTTTTATATCCATGTGTACTCCATCCTGATAACATTCCATGAGTCCAAAAATCACTTATAGTCCATAAGACGACAGCCTTCATTGTAAAATTTTGGTTGGAATACGCATCATAAGTGGGAGTGCCCACCTTCCACAACTCATTCAATTCGTCAATCAATGGATGCATGTACACATCTATCTCTTTACCGGGACTGCGCAGTCCTGGTATTAACAGAGACAACAACAAATTCGGTTGCTTTATACACATCTAGGGCGGCAAATTGTAAACTGAAAGCACCATAGGCCATGTGCTATGGTGCCTCATTTTTCCAAAAGGATTAAATCCATTACTGGCCAACCCTAATCGGACATTTCAAATTTCTTACCCAAACTCCGGACATAAATTATCGAAATGCTTCCATGCTGAAGAATATGAAGAATGTCTCATAAACCCATCCTTAGGACATTCAGTTGCGTGCCACCTTATATGTTCAGCCGTATGCATCAACATATACAATCGCTGCAACTGTGATTTTAAAGGAAAATATCACATAACCTTAGCTGCGATTTTTTTTCTAGAGCCATCATCTTCATTGACATTTTTATATCTTGATTCACCATAAACTGAGCATGCGGTCAACTCCGCAGTGTCTTTCCAATAGATCATGCAATTATTGGGACACGCATTAATCTTCACATACTTCAGCCCAAGTCATTTATAAGTTTTTTTGCCTTATAACAAAATTCATGCAAACAATCTCCATAAAAAAAAATTCTTTTAATGAAGAGAAAGAAATGAGTAAAATGAAGATGAGCAAGAAGAAGAAATCTGAGTGAACAACAAATTGAAAAACTTTTGGCGTAAAAATAATAAAATAATCAATTTCTGTCGGTTATAACTAGGGGTGGTTCGACATGGGATACCATACCGAAATTAGTATCTCGAATCCCAAACCGAAATTTTTCGGGATGGGAATTTGAAGACCAATCCCAAACCAAATTTTCGGGAATCCTGAAATATTTTCGGGATTTCGGGACAAATCGGGAATCCCAAATTGAAATATGAAATTATGAATTTTTGTTAAAATATATAATTCAAGAACACATTCATGAACTAGGAATGTCATTTCATTCACACTACCATTTAATTGAACACTGGCATGCGTGACTGTTTTTATCAGAGTCAAAATTCAAATTAATTAAATCCTTTTTGCAATCTGTTGAGAGACAAAAGAATCAAGTCTTCTGAAATCATCAACCATGATAGTAGCAATAATAAAATCCAAATAAATATCAAACAGAACATGAAAAATATGCAAGTTGTAGGGCATTCCATGTTGCAGAGCATGAATTAGAAACTACTAGCATCAATTATAAAAGAATAATATTATATATATATATATAATAATTAATATTATATATTTTCGGTTTGGTATGGGATTCCCGAAATATAGAGAAGCCAATCCCGAATCCCGTACCGAAATTTCAGGATTGGTTTGAGATAGCATCCCGAAAATTTCAAGAATTTCGGTTTGGGAAATTTTTGGTTTGGGATCGGGATTTTTTCGGTTCGGTTCGGGATTTTCAAGAATTTTTCCACCCCTAGTTATAACCCTTTGCTTCGGAACAAAACAATTCGAATCAGTCGGTCAACTGGAATGTGTATTATCCATATAGGGGATCTTTGAATTGAGAAGATCCGCTAGAATTTGTTAAAAATATTTTTAAAAAAAATTCAAAAATAATGGCGGTTATAATAATTTTATGACGGTTGCATCCGACACTAAATATCCACCAGGAATTTATGTCAGATATAATCGACAAGATTTCATTGTTATCCGACACTAACTTAATTTTGTGTCGGATATCTTTTGTCCGACATAATGGCTTATTAAACCGCCATTGATAGACACATATTTATTACAATTGTTACCTTATTATTTATATTTGTTAGTGCCTCATTTAGACTATTTTTAGTAAATTACTTTATTTTGTAATTTATAAGGATTATGATGCTTATTGATAAAAGTGGAATTTAACAAGGTTTTGACACATCCTATATGTTTTAGTCTTCCTAAATACATTGGCTTCATCCATCTAATTAAATGTTATTTTATTCTTAGGTTGAAAACCAATAGGCGGGGTGATTTTTACTTATTTGGACCAAGAGCCAATACTTTCAAGGGATGGTTTTTCGACTTAATCGAGAAGGATGAAAAGAATTAAAGAAAGATGGACAAGATGATTACATGAAGCGGTGGAGATATCTTAGGAAAGAATCTCAAATTGATTGGAACTCCTATTTTTTAGCAAACTTGGACTGGAGGCAAAGATATTAAAAGGAAGATACGAGCAGTAAAGAGGGACTCGGACGACTTCTTCTGGCGTGGAACAAGGTAGTGGGAGAGTAGCACCAATTTGGTTTCTCTTATTTAGTTTTATTTTATGCATATTTTTTGTAGAACTACTATGAATTCTTTGTTCATGGGGTTCTAAACTCTTAGCTAAGGCTAAGATGAAGCCCTAATTATGATTACTCTAGTTATTTGATTGTTTAATTCGTGGATTTCAGATTGATGATTAGTTTTCCTTCACTAGTAGAATTGCAATTTTGATATTTGGTTCTTTGTGCTTGACCATAGCCTAGGATTTTGATATTGAAATTATTTGCATATGCATTTATTTCTGACCATGAATTGGATTCTATCGATGCTTTGTGAATGAGAATCATGAACTTATATTTTGATCTGAGCGTAGACGAATATTGGTTTGTGTGGCTTCTTAGAAAATTAGCTATTTGTTTGACGTGACCAAGTTGATAAGTGGTTAATTTGTTTCTGACTTTGCTTAATTGGATTTCCACATGTTTGTGTATACAGGACCATGGATATAGAGACTGTAAGAATAGTTGAGTTTAAGCCTGACCACAGTAAAATTCACATCTCTTTGGGAAATTATTGGCACGTGTACATGACGACGAACATATGTACGGAAGTTGTTTTCATTAATTTGATAATTCATGAGTTGACAATTGAATACTAGGGTATGACAATTAGTGATGGAATCAAAGCCTTAGTGTTTTCTTACATTGTTAATTTTAATTAGTCTTCAATACAAACCCAATCTTTAATTCAATTTGTTAAGTAATAGTTATGGGATTAAATTGTTAAATCAACTTCGGTGGATTCGATCTCGTATTTACATATTTCCACTACAACTGATTCGTGCACTTGCGAGTAAATTTGGTTTGAATTAATCTATTTATTAGGTTAGTTTAAATTCATATCAGCCACCATCATCTGACACCTAAAGCTAATATTGTAGTAGTGGTTGTTCATGTTTTTCATTGTGGAAACCCTATAACAGTACAAAACTGTAACAAAAAACCACAAAGTGTCTGTTTCTAGGATATGCATCTAAGAATATGGGATACATATGTTTTGAAGTTAGTTCAAAGAAGGTTTACATTTCCAGGCATGTCATATTTGATGAGTGTGAGTTTCCATACCCTTCATTGTCACAAAAATAATATGCAGTTCCAACCAATTTCTCATTAAGAACACCTTCACAACCAGCGTCTCTCACATGTGAAAACATTGTTGTCATACCACCACCACTACATCCCAATCCTAAAATTAGACTTACTAGTGCCAGTGACTTATCTTAGACTCCATCAAATGCTGAAGTTGAAGTCTCAAATCAACTTATTACTGGCACTTCACCTCAGTCAATATCTTCTACAATCCCTGTGGTTCCTAAATTCCAACCAGAAAGCTTGCAAGTGGTTTCCCTATTCTTCCACTGAATTTGCATCCTATGCAAACAAGATCTAAAAGTGGTATTTCAAAGAAGAATGTTTTTCTGGTTATGTCATATGATAATGCAGAAGTTGATTTATCTCAGATTGAACTAGTGTCATATAAGTCTACTCTTAAATCTCTAGTGTGGTTTAAAGCTATGGAAGAGGAAATACAAGTACTGAACTCTCAGAACACTAGTCTTTGGTCACCCTACCTTCAAATAGGAACCTTGTGGGATGTAAATGGGGTTTTAAGATTAAAAGACATGCAGATGAAACAATTTCAAGATACAAGGATAGGCTTATGGCTAAGGCTTCAAT